ACAGTAATCGGTTCTAGGGCTTAAATTCCTTACTATTTTAGTAAATATCAAGAAGTTTGTACTATTCAATAATTTTAAAAGTCTTATACAGGGTATTAAAATTTTTAGTCATTTTAACAATTATTTAACATAATTGAATACAGGGAAACTAGTTTTTAGCACGCCAAACAGCCTGTCAAAAAGCAGGCGTCAGTCTCTGTGTCTTTTCAGTCGAGGTAACATCTTGCTTCAGACTCTCTTCAACATAAATGCTTTTTTTCTGTGTTTTCAGTCAAATTATTGGTCGTTTTGACATTTATTTTACATATTGATGATATATAGTGCAGTGTTAATTTAAAGAAAATATTCTTTATTTACAGCAATTAAACTTAAAATATCACATGTTGAAATTGTTTTTGAATCCAGTATGGGTCCCATGAAATCTAGAAAAGCAATTTCAATTCAGATGAAACAGGAAATTATTAGAAAACATGAAGAAGGCATTAGAACAAATGTGCTTAGCAAAGAACATCGCATGTCGACATCAACTGTGCCGACAATTCTTGTACAGAGACAAATTCAAGGAAGTGAAAGTGAGACACAAATCTACCAGTGTTCAAAGGAGATCCCTAATAGCAGAAACAGAGAGGTTACTTTTCATTTGGATTTGGGAAAAACAGATGAAAGGTGATTCCGTTTCTACTGAACTTACTTGTGAAAGAGCCAGGGAAATATACGAACATTTAAAGGTAGATCAACCTGGTTCTTCAGGCACAGACTTTGAAAATTTTAGGGCCAGCAAGGGCTGGTTCGAAAAATTTTAGAAAAGAAGTGACATATTTAGTGTTGTTAAGCATGGTGAGGCTGCCAGTGCTGATAAGGAAGGGGCAGCAAAGTTTTTAGTGGAATTTAAAGAACTGATGGATACAGAAAATTATCTTCCACAGCAAGTGTTCAATGTGGATGAAACTGAGCTGTTCTGGAAAAAGATGCCCAAAAGAACATTCATCACCAGAGATGAAGCCTCTTTACCTGGGCATAAACCCATGAAAGACCGTCTCACTCTATTGCTTGGTGCCAATGTTTCGGGGGATTTCCGACTGAAGCCTGTGCTTGTCTACCACTCTGAGAACCCCAGGGTGTTCAAGCAACAAAAAGTGGTAAGAGGACAGCTTGGAGTTTATTGGAAGTCGAACCATAAGGCATGGGTAACAAGACAGCTCTTTAAAGAATGGGCTGTTGAGGTGTTTTGCCCTTCTTTGAAGAGCTACCTAACCACCAATAAACTCCCTTTAAAGGCTCTTCTCCTTATGGATAATGCCCCTGGTCATGACCCTGAACTTGCCAGCACTTTGGAGGCTCAATTTGACTTTGTCAAAGTGTTGTTTTTGCCTCCCAACACTACATCAATCATACAACCAATGGACCAAAATGTGATCAGCAACTTTAAGAAGCTGTATATGAAGAAAATGTTCAGGAGGTGTCATCAGGCAACTTCCACTGACCCTGAACTAACACTGGCACAGTTCTGGAAGACACAGTTTAACATCCTGGAGGCTGTAAAATTTATTGTGTCCTCATAGAAAGAAGTCTCCACTAGATCCCTCAATTCTTCATGAAAAGCACTGTGGCCATCAGTAGTCCATGATTTTGAGGGATTTCAGGATGAAACAGAGTTGCACCAGGAGATTGTGTCCATTGGTCAGTCATTGGGCCTTGAAGTGGAGGAGGATGATGTAGAAGAGCTTGTGATGTCTCATGAGCAGGAACTTACTCCTGAAGGCTTGCAGCAACTGGATGAGATGTTAGAGGCTGACAGTGGTGAGGAGGAAACAGAAAGTGATGACCATATGTCAACTTCAGAGTTGAAAGATGTTGTTGACCACTGGGAGAAGTTCAGGAAACTGGCTTCAAGGCACCCACATGTGGAAAAATCTGAACTAGCTTTGTGTCATGTTGAGGACACAGTGGTCTCCTTCTTCAAACATCAGTAATGATGAGGAGAGATGCCCCACAGACAAAAATTTACAGTTTCTTCAGTAAAAGGCAGTGGGAACAAGATGCTAGCCCTCAGCCTTCCACTTCAAGAAGGAGAGAAGATGTTCCTGGTGGAGAATCTGTCAGTCCAGAGGTTCCTGACATTTTCATGGAAGGTGACTCACCTTCCAAGAAGCAGTAAAATGCTTCTCCTCCACCTCCACTTCAAATTCACATCAGCATCATCATCCAGGAGCCTTCTACATATACACCTCAAAGTAAGTGTACTTTATTGCATTTTTTTTTTATTTTGTATGTAGTTTTCGGTGAGCTGGAACCAATTACCCAAAATTCCATTGAAACAATGGATCAGTTAACGAACGACCCTCTGGAACGAATTGTGTTCGTTCCAGAAGGTCGTTCGTTAACCAAAACTATTGTTTCAATGGGATTTTGGGTAATTGGTTCCAGCTCACCGAAAACTACATACAAAGTAAAAAAAAAAAATGCAGTACGGTACACTTACTTTGAGGTGTGTATGTAGAAAGCTCCTGGTTGATGATGATGATGATGGGAATTAGAAGTGGGGGTGGAGGAGAAGGGAGAAGAGGAGGAAGTGGGGGTGGAAGAGAAATCACCCCATGCTTCATGCCGTCATTTCACCCATAAAATTTTAAGTTCACTTGGTGTAATTCAAGATTATTTTCTTTACATCAACACTGCACTGCACTATACAGTATATTGTCAATATGTTAAATAAATTTCAGAATGACCAATAATTGTACAGTACTGCAAAAACGAAAAAATGCTGTGTTCAAGAGACCCACAAGCAAGATGTTTCCTCCACTGAACAGATACAAACTGAGGCCTTGGTGGGTGAGTAAAGGGGCTGTTGGGCCCACCAAAAACTAGTTCCCTGTACTGCAATTATTTTAAATAAGTGTTAAAATGACAAAAAAATTTAATACAAAACTTGGAAAATTATTGAATAGTACAACCTTCTTGATATTTACTCCAATTTTAACGAATGTAAGCCCTAGAACCGATTTCTGTATGGAAAGACTAATCTTACAGCTGGTGAGCAAGCCAAAGCATGTCGAAACATTTCCGTAAGAATTTCGTTAACCGAATTGAATATTCTTATGGAAGGTAATTAGTTAACCGAAATTTCGTTAACCGAGGCTTTTGTTAACCGAGGGCCCACTGTACTTAAAATAATGAAAAAAATAATAAAAAAATTTATGTACAAAAAATGTACCCCAAGTCCATCATTTATGTGTTATTCATTACAGATATGTTGCAGTAATAATCTGTTTATATTAATACCTGTATCCTTCATATTAAACAATACAGTACAGTGAAACCTCTAAAATTCGGATACATCTAAAATTCGAATAGCATCCGATTAAAAATAAGTGCCAAAATTAGATTTCCAATTTGAAAATATCGCCATAATAATTTAAGCTTTCAAATGCGATCATAATGCTGAGCACAAGCGCATCCGGGTTCCAACACATACTAGGTCACACATTGTATCCAGTACAGTGAAGGTGGATGGAGACGGAGTGTTGTACAGTACAGTATTTGGAGACTGGCAGGATTACATGGAGACCACTGTAGCTATACAGCAATCTTCTAAATATACTGTACGTATTAGAATAAATGTTGTTGAATATAAATACGGTAACACTTTTAATTTATTTTACCTATTGCTTATGGACAGTTTTTAGATATGTAAATAATTTTTGTAGTATGTTTTGATACAACAATTTGCTGTGGCGCTTCCATACATTTAAAATTCGAATTTTTCTAAAATTTGTATACTTCATGGGCCCATGCAATTCGAATTTTTGAGGTTGCACTGTACTGTATAATTATACATCACTGATTAAACATAATGTCATCAGGAACCCATCCTCATATATGCAATGGTACTAAATTCATTTCTCTAATACAATTAGAACTGATGCTGTGAATAAAAGTTTAGGCAGTTTTTCGCGACCTGTAAATATTTTCGCTCGTGCCTGCGGTCTAGATGTAATGGCAGAATGTTTGTCGTGCGAGATGAGATGCACAGTTTAGAATCAAGATGAGATGAATAGTTTAGACTCTTGGGAAACTATCCCCAGCGTCCAGAAACATTCTGAGGTTGTGGGCTAGTGTTAGTCTGTGCAAGATGCATAGTTCAGAGTCTCGGAAACTTTTCCCAGTAACAGGAAAACATTCAAGGGATAAGGGATTTTTCCGGGTCTGAGAGAGTCATTTCATTACCTGAAATCTCTCATCCCCAGAAGAGCTCTGTATCAATTGTTCTGGCTAACAAGGATATCGTTGTACAATACAGTATAGATATAAAAAAAAATGCAAAATTACAGGGAAAATACATTTACTGTGTGCACCAGAGAAAGAATAAGCTTGCTGAGTTACTATCAGGTAAACTGTTTCAAAAAACATATTAGGGGAAGAGCAGTGTGGGTTAGGGAAAGAAAGATTTGTGAATCAAGTGGAATATGAGTGAAAGGTTTTAGGAACAGAGAAAGACTGTTTGTGGAATTCATGGACATTGTCGAGAATGAAAGAATGTTTATTTAAGTTTTAGTTCTATGACAAATGAGACAAAAGCACAAATTTTGTACTGTACTACTAAAATTTGTTTCATGGAAAATGTTAAATACTAAAAAAAAGAGATATGAAAGTTTAGAATAGATACATATTATGATAAAGTAAATAACACAGTGCTGTGGGTGGTTATGACATTTTCAAGGGGTTGAATGCTGAAAAATTTTATAATTCTCTGCAGGTACTGTATTTGAAAAGACCCAAAGAAAATGCCATAGCATTACAGGAAGAAATCACACCCATTTTATAGTGTGTCAAGCTAGATGAGGTGTTACACTTCATGAGAATGATAGATTGGCTCTTGAATACAGCAGTATATATAATAGCCGCCTTACATCGACTGGCTCAATTCTCAAATCTAAATCTGTTATCCTAAACTAAAGTCTCCCCTTATGTATGAAAATACAAGGCTAAGCCAAACTAACCTCTTAAGTTCAAAACAAGAAGTGGTTGAACTGCTTGATTTTCAGGAATGACTTCAGGAGATGAAACTGGTGTGGTCGGAGTAGAAAGACCACTTGCAGTGATGACAAGAGTAGACGGATCGATGTTGCCCAGGTGTTCAGATGAGCTCATGCCCGTAATGACAGTGTCACCATCTCTAACCTACATTGTAAATCATCTTTGTCAATTCCATTACCTTAAATTGTTTTTTGTTAAGAAAAATTACAATATACTCTAAAAATGGACTGGACAGCTAAATTGAGTAAAAATAGGCTAAGTTACAAACTACAATAATAAAATATACTAACAAATATCACATCAATGTTAATACAGTAATTCTAGAATTATTGTACTTATTTGCAAGATGGCACTAACAGCATTTATTTTTATTTTTTTTTAACATTAAATATTTATTTTAATGAAAAACTCCAAATGTTACGGTTCCAATAGCAAAATAAAATATCTCAGAAAAATTTTAATTCTGTACACAATTGTTTTTCTATTTTAAGAAGACTTAATCCTAAGATCTTCATAAAGTCTGAACCATAACTTCTTATGACTTATAAGAAAAACAAACCTACACGGCTTCACATCTTTAACTGTCAACTACCAACACAAACTATTTGTCATTCACTGCACCATAACTCCTGGAATGTGGTTGTCTTCTCAAAACAAAGAAAATACAGCCACTCTTCGACTTACGACGGGGTTAGGGACCCAAATCCAGGTCGTGAGTCGAATTGGTCGTAAATCGAAAATGTGAAGATAATACATAGAAAATCTAAAATGGGTGTCTCTTTTTCTTCTCAGCACCACAAAACTCTCACTTTTAAGCATGCCAGCCATATTAAAGGGAATTACAAACGAAAATTTTGTCAGTTACACAGCGCAATCACTAACGTCGGGACTCGAAAATACGTAATTTGACAAAAATTTGGTACGACTGGGGCGGTCGTATGTCCGGGTGGTCGTAAGTCGAGGAGTAGCTGTACTCTGCCCCACAAGTTTTCACTGTATGAAGAAAAGCCACCCTAAGAAAGATGAGAAATAATAAAGCATCATCACTTCCAGTGATGGCAATTCATTAACATGTGCACTTAAGTCAAAACTTTTAAGAACATGAATCATAACTTGGATAGATGTTCATGATATGAAGCTCCTTAATATATTTTCATTTGATCTCAGATGCCTTTCTCAAGACATAAAATTTCAAACAGACAGAAGTAACCTTACAAGCCCATCATATTCTGACATAGGCAGAGACACTTGTAATATGTCTTCTTAGAGTGTCTGGAAAATAAGTAAAATACAGTCGACCCTCGTTAAAACGGACTATAGGGGGGGAAGGGTGTCCATTTTAGCCGATTGTCCGAATTAACGATTTAGGGGTTAATATTGCATAATATTGCATTATATTTCAAAGAAAATGCAGTGAGTTCGTCCTTAGCCTTGAGTAATGCGTATGTCCGAAACTGTTTGCTTTTTAACACCATACTCATCACAAACTCTAGCCACCGAAGCACCAGCCTCTAACTTCCTTCTAAGTTCCAGTTTCTGGTTCACAGAAAGGGTCACATACTTCCTCTTTGGCGTATTACTCCCCCTTGAAGGCATGATGTAAAATACAAGGCTGAAAGATGCCTAATCACTGAAATATCAACAAAAATTGCAGGGCAACACAACACTGATACTCGAATATGGCGCTAAGTCAACAATGACTGGCGGTCTGGCGCGTGCACGCGCCATCTATCGGACAATCCCAGAACCAGAAATTTGACACGGACAGTCCCTCGTTTAATTTAGATTTTGTCCGATTTATCCGATACCCGGATTAAAGGGGTCCGTTTTAACGAGGGTCAACTGTACTGTATTTCAACTTCTGGATGGCGGAACATTTCCTTATATATGTAATCATTAATTTAGCAATATCCTTTTGCGTCTAGCTGTTGTGCTTGCATAATCATGTCATAAAGTGACATTTAATCCTCAATTTTGGGTGCATTCTACACACAAAATAACAATTGAACCATGCCTAAAGAACCACTCAAGCCTTCAGGGAGGAACATGCGGAGAAAAGTGGCTGACCTAGAAAGAAAAGCTGAAAATAAAAAAAATAAGAATAGTGGTGTACCAGTGTGTGGTGTTGACATGTGACACCCTCCAAATATTTGCAATGCTAATAGACAATTATAACCTCTAATGCTGAATACACTCCTTTAGTGTGCTATAATTAGCTTTTATTCCACCTTCATTGTATGAAAGTGATATGAAGTATAAATGTATACAAGTGAGTACAGTACAAGGGGTTTAATTTTCTGTACTTCCTTTCTTAAGTTTCTCATTTACCTTTCATCAAATTCTCATGTTTTGAGTTTAAGTTTAAATAATCTTATAAATTATATAATTAAAACACAGTATACTGTAATTGTAAGAGTTGCCCAATAACACCTGGTTAAGGATAAGTATATAAGTAACCAGAATACTCCCTTACCTAGACTAGCTGTACACCAATTAATCTAGTTAAGGGAGACTTTACTGTGGTTTACTCATGCACAGGGATTACATGCACAGTACTGATGTTTATTCACTCCTTGACTACAGTTCTTTGCATAACTATACTGCACACATAATTTCTGGCTTCATAGTAGAAAAAGTTAAATAAATTGCTAATAAAGTCTCAGTTGTATGGCACCATCAATTAAAGTCTGGTTATATCAAATACTGTACAAACATCAGTTCAATAATTTCACACAATACAATACAGAATATTTCGTCACATCATAAATTTCTGAGTTCATATTCCCTTTTATGTACAGTACATAACAAAACCTTCACTGATATTTACCAGAAATAATTATTTCAACCCACTAGATATTAAGATATTCACCTTATTACTCAAACTAATGGCCTCCAAGTCAACTCTGGATTAAATCTAAATCACCATTCTTGAAGAAATTTGAATGTGTGTCAAGCAAAAACTAAAAATAACTGCACAGAGCTATATTACCACTACACTAACTGGTACACTGATACATAACTAAAATTCTAAAACATATCTAAAATTTCAAGTTTGCATTTGAAAACCTAAATATTCATCAGTAAGTTACAATGGTATGATGTAATGCATTAGATAAATCTTATCACTTACATATAAAATTCTAATGTTTTTTCTAGATGATGGTTTTTCAATTAGGTCTTTTTAATGCTCTGGGTTTTTACCCTAAAAACTACAGAGATCACTAAATAAATTCACTTGAGGCCTTCACCCACCTGCTTTTTTCCCTGAGTTGATCAAGCTACCAATAGTAATATCAAGGCCACTGATAGTGTATCACTCTACAGGTTTCTGTGGTTAACTTTGACCTTTTCCGACATTCTCAAACTTTAAGTATTTTGCTTTCCAGATGCCCTAACTTACAGTAGCAGAGTTTAAAGAGTTAAGGATTTAATACACTAAACTTAGAAATATATTTAGAAATGGATAAACAAAGTTTCTGAATATGCACAGTAAACACACTACACTATCATTATTTAGTTCCAAAGTTAGTTACCAAAAGAACGTGATAAAATACCCAAGGAAGAAAAAGGGTTCACTGCATTAATAAAAAGACCCTTAAAGAAATCTAGGGTTCTTGATATGTAACAATTTTCAATAATGCCTATCGTGTTATATGCATGACTGATCTTACTCATCCGAGGCACAAGAACATTTCTCAACCACAATGTATCACCCCAGTGAAAAAAAAGGGAATAATATGCATGTTGCCATGTTTATCACATGACTACACCCAAAGTAGCCATCATGCTCAGCAGAAGGATTGATTGATTGATTTATTGTGGTAATTACTGTACATCCCTGGCAATGCAACAGCTTAGGTCATATGTCACTGAATAAAAATAAAAGTTTAGAAGACTAAAATCAAATAATGCAAGGTAAAAAAAAAAAACATAAATAATAAATAGCATAGAACTTTTGTAAAAAAAACATTTAAACATAAATAAAACCCAGCAGAAGGATTTCTCATTCTTGAAAATTTTTATTTTAATTTGCCCACCCTCAGATCTTGTACCAAAAGACTAACCAAGACGGTATAGTACTAGATGTTATAACACTACCTCATCTAGTAATTAAAAAGCATGAAGAACACAAGTAGGTTGCCTACTTATACACACACATGCAAAATAAGTGCACATCTGCCACTACAGTTATAACTTATAAGAGAAAATCTAGAAAGCAATAGTTAGAAACTGGATACCAAAGAGAAAAAATACAGCAAAGAATAAGAGACAAAAATATTAATACCACAAGCACCTAATAATCAAACACTACTTCCCTAGCCAATGCACACACCTCAACAGTCATGGCCATTTCCTGGTTGGCACTGTCATGGATGGATGAGCGCGTCCGTGAACTTGGCATTCGTCCGTAGCGTAGGTGAAAGAAACCCCCCTCCTCATTGGACGGGGGTGATACTATGAAGTCATCTACCTCATATCTGTCACAGGCCAAACCAGTTACATGAAATTTTCAAATCTACCTTTACAATAACAATTGTTTTAAAATAAATGATATGCTACCAAATACTTCTCATAAAGAAAATATTAAAAGTTCTTTAAGTTCATTCTTGTCAATTGATACAAAATTCTGTAAATAATAAGTTAAGAAATAAACTAACCAATATGCAAATTCTCCCAACTTATTATTTACAGAATTTTGTAAATAAACTAACCAATATGCAAATTCTCCCAACTTATTTTCCTTGTAAATTATGGTAAATGCTTAAATCCCATAGAGTACCTGTATTCCACATTACAATACTGAACTTAATGATTCTAAGTACAGTAGACCCTTGTCATTCGCGAGTTTGCGATTCGCGATTTCAACGATTTGCGGTAAGCAGATGGTGGCTAGCTTGCAAGCCTTTTCCCGCAGAACAACTAGTCACCCCACGCAGCACCTCGTGTTGTACTCTCAAAACTTTAATATTTCTGTGTGAAATTGGCCCTAAAAGACTGCCTAGTGTCAGTGCTAGTGATGCTAGTGGAGTGAAATGTAAAAGGCAGAAGTCAGTGATGACCCTGACAAATAAAGTTTTATTATCAGATAAGTTAAAAGAAGGGATGAGTGCTGCCACAGCTGGTCAGTTGTTTGGTATAGGTATACAGTAGTGCACTAAGGTAGTATAAGTTACTATTCTCAGCTTTGCCAATTCACGCTATTCCTTGTAACCTATACCTCGCGAATGGCAAGGGTCTACTGTCCAGTACTTCAGTCTACAAACCCATAAGAAAAACAGGTTTCTAAGATGAACAATTCTATTGGTAAACTATTTGTAGAAGGAGAAAAGGTTACTTTAACAATAACATTAAAAGTGTCTTTTAGTATTATGACTGAGAACATGCTTCGACATGCTGATGCCATAGATAGATCATATACATGAGAAACATATAAAAATAAAGTTCAGTACACTACTAAACATATGTCAACTAGTACATGTACTGTAGTAGATTACATGCTTCGTATACACAGTACAGTATACATGTACTGTGTCAATGTTCTAGAATGGTTACAAGCTTCAATACTGTATATGAAAAAAGACAGTATTCATAAATAATAGATTTATTATCCCTAGGCATCCACATACACAACCAAGAATTAATGCTGGTATTCTTTATATATATAATCCTTCCACCAATAATTACTTCCAATAAGAGGAATTTTTCTTTCCTCTGCAATACATAAAGAATTCATTACACTGGAAAGTTGAAATCCTCTGTTGGTAGTCTCATTATTGCGAACAAACCAACGATTTTACCAAATTTATACATTTGCTGTAAGCCTCTTCTGAGGATAATATATATATATATATATATATATATATATATATATATATATATATATATATATATATATATATATATATATATATATATATATATATATATATATATATATATATATATATATATATAATTGTTGGGTTAACTTTCGTTTTATGCCCACTGCAGTGTTCAGAAATAATTTTAGTATTAAAAAATTAGGTAAATATTTGGCTGGTGACTTTTTCCAGATTTCCAAGATGAAACCATGTTTTTCTATATCAGTTTGTTCTCTTCTTTTGAGTGAATGATAATCATTTGGAGTAAAAATTATTATTCTTTTTTATTTACACTCAAGAAAGCCTGAATGTGTGTAACAGCAATTTCTGAGTACAGTGATCCCTCGGTTAACGAACGCCTCGGTTAACGAAATTTTGGTTAACAACTTACCTTCCATAAGATTCTTCACTTCAGTTAACAAAAAAATTTTGGTTAACGAATTACTTACGAATTTTTCCCAACATGTTTTCACCTGCTCACCAGCTGTAGTTTTAGTCCGCCAATACAGTAATCGGTTTAAGGGCTTAAATTCGTTACCATTTGAGTAAATATCAAGAAGGTTGTACTATTCAATAATTCCCAAGCTTTATATTAAAATTTTTAGTCATTTTAACACTTATTTAACATAATTGGAGTACAAGAAACTAGTTTTTGGTGCGCCACTCAGCCACTTGACTCACCAACCAAGGCGTCAGTTTGTATCTCTGGTCAGTGGAGGTAACATCTTGCTTGTGGCTCTCTTGAACATAAACTATTTTTACGTTTTTACAGTACAATTATTGGTCATTCTGAAATTTATTTTACATATTGACAATATATTGTGCAGTGCAGTGTTGATTTAAAGAAAATAATCTTGAATTACACCTAGTGAACTTAAAATTTTATGGGTGAAATGACGGCATGAAGCATGGGGTGACTTCTCCCCTACCCCCACTTCTAATTCCCATCATCATCAACCAGGAGCCTTCTACATACACACCTCAAAGTAAGTGCACTTTACTGCATTTATTTTTAGTTTGTATGTAATTTTCAGAAAGCTGGAACCAAGTACCCAAAATCCCATTGAAACAATGGTTTCGGTTAACGAACGACCTTCTGGAACAAATTGTGTTCGTTAACAGAGGGACCACTGTATTGTGTCATAAAAAGTGTAGTTTGGGGGTCGACCAAGTCTCTATTTCAATTAATCCCATATGTTCTGTTATTTCGTTTACGCTGACCTCCATGGGTTCAATTGACCTCGTAAATGAAGACTATACTGTATGTACTTTGCTCATAATGATTCCCTTCCTGGACCACATTCACAAGCCTGGCCATTTGGGATTTAGCCGTGTGAACTACCATAAAAAAATTACATGACAGATACTAATAATGTTACATGACAAATGTAGTGTCATACACCTGGAGTTTTAATCACCCTCTTCCAGCGACATGAGTCTTTGTTCACGACCAGACTTGTAAAAAAATTTGAGTCACAAAGGAAACTGCACTACTGTGATTGACGGGGAGGGTTAGCAGTAAAATAAAGTTACAATATTGGAATTTGCTCATTTTATTGCCACACCTCCCCATCAAGCACTGTAGTGCAATGTCCTTCGTGACTACATTTTTTTTTTAGATCTCTGGTTGTAAACACGAAGACCCCATTGATGGAAGAGGGTGATTAAAACTCCGGGCAATAAACTGTCATGAATAATTGTCCGATACATAATTTCACAGCATACAATGAAAATCTACTTAAATAGTTTTGGATAATCAAATGCCCTTAACATACCAGTGATCAACTTCAAGCATAACATAGCTAAGTAAAGTTTACCAGCTATATCAAATGTTGCAATAATATTTTTCCCTGTAACTTGAGAATAACTGTCTGCAGATCTAAGCCATGTTAAGAGGATGACAAATTAGTCAAAGTGAGTAAGTCAATGTGATTGAAAGGAAACTCTGTTTTTGTTCTTGATTATAGATCTCCTGCAGTAAGACCAATTAAAAAAACAAAAAAAACATACTGTATACATACAACATCATTATCAACATTTTACAGCCATTTCCTATGCTTGTGTGGGTTAGCCACAATTATCTAATAGCAGCGGTTAGGTAAAACTGGAACAGGATGCTCCCACCCCTGCTCACTACCACATACACTAAGTACCGGCCCAGAAAATGCAGCAGAAACCTGGGATGAACACAGGCTCTGGTGGCCCAGTTGCCACCAAGAATGTTGAAGCAAATTTTTACAGCTGGATCCCCTTCCTAATGCCAACCAACAGGATGGGAACAGTCGGCATAACAGGGTCCCAGAGGTAATATAAAACTACTTACCGGTACCTACCAATGTACCATAATTCATGCCAAGGAAGAAGCATTATCACCAATTTGATGTGTCAACTAAAGAACTGTCAGGACAGTCTTGTCATCTTTTGGGTTGAATACCCCCGTATTTGCATCTTGTAAATTGCGGTGTTGCTTGTTTGGGGGCGTCTGTCAGTTTGTTTTAATTTGAGGAGCTGAATGATACGATTCAAGTATCATATTTGCTGAATGTGTTCGAGAGTACAGTATTTAAACTTCCAAGTGAGCTTACAGGGTAACTGTTTTAGGAAGTGTTCAAGCCTGCAAGTGAACTTGGATGGTGGTTGTATTCGAGTGTGTTCAAGACTGGTAAGCAAGCTTGTACTGAGACACCAGCACCACTTTTAACTGGGATTCACTGTACACTCCTCAGAGCAGACATACTACTTCCTCCCCTCTCTTTGTCTACTACTTCGTAAGTATCTTCATGTGATATTTAGTTGTGTTAATTGTTTATTTAGACTTGTTACTTGCATATTGTTTCACATGTTTGGTATCAAGTTATGAATTTGTTTCTTGGCATATTTACCTGTAATTACCCATTTGTTCAGTTCATTGCTGATGGGTATTTCTTTATTTTAACTCGACAGTTGGGTGGTGATAACCAGTCCACTAGTATCCACTGAGCACCAGATATATATTCCTGTCCATCTGGGGTCCTGCCACATTCTGTTGTGAGGCAGGATTTGGTCAGCTGAAGTTGCTGCCATTGCGTTGTGCTCTTTGTTCCAGCGCAGAAGTGGTGACTGGAGACCCACTGGGAGAGGGTTTGGTCTGCTGTTTGGCAGAGTGACTTGGCCCTATATTGCTTCCACTTCAACCTGGTACCAGCTATTGGGATAGCCTTTATGTTCATCGGTCAACTTGAAGACCGCGCCATTCCCTGAGCTGTGAGAGACTACCATCTACAAGTGCTTCCAGAACATTTTATAACGTGCTCCTATGTCTGGTGCCTGAATTTGTTGGACCTGGCATTTTATACCAGCCACTATAATAGTGAATTCATTATTGTGTATGGATGCTGGTGTAGACATACGCATGACTGGGTTTGGCTGTGGGTTACTGCGATATTTGTTTATACGTATTACATTAAACAAAATTATCAATGCATTTCATTTGACCTTGAGGAGATAAGCCTGAATCAGTTGACATGTTTTTCATTCTGCTTACCATATGGAAGCCTGGGATTCATTTATATAAATAATAATTCACATTACCAGTTCTGAAATTTGCATGTACCAATTTTGCAGCTATCCATAAATTA